GTCTTTAGTCACTATCGTAGAGCAGACCGTGTCGAAATGAGGGTTAGAGGGCACAAGGCCGATCAAGAGCAGAAAGGAAACATACGGGTCCGTACGCGAGGCGAAGTCACCGGACCACAGTCAGGTGTGAGAGCACGCGGCGGCGCGGTGGCTCTTGTGGTGGAGCTGTTATCGTGTCATGCGACGTTGCCTGACTCCGCACCGTTGGCTTCGTACCGTAGTGGAAGAGCAGTGAGAGTAGTGAGGTATAGTGCTGCCCTCCGTGCAGTCAGAGAAGTGGTAGCGAAGTCGGGGCGTAACCCCCAGGAGTACGCGTTGCACTCGTTGCGAATTGGAGGCGCGACGGCTCTTGCATCGGGCGGAGACATCGCAGAACGAGTGATTCAGAGAGAAGGGAAGTGGAGGTCGGATGCATACAAGCCGTACGCGCGAAACAATGTAGAGGATTCGCGGCGAGTGTCACGGAAACTTACAGACGGCAGTAGGATCGTATCGAGACAGCCGGGGGAGGGGACCGTCTGGGGGAACGGATAGTTGATTTATTCGGTAGTCGTCCAGAAACTGACCTCGATGTGGGTGTTGTAGAATGGTGTGTACCATTTGAGGACTTGGTCAGTTTTGGGACTCCTTCGTTTGCAGTCGTAGTCCCCCGGCTAGTATTTGTGGGGAGAGAGATGGATTTGTAAGAGTTGACGCCGGCCTTTGCAGCTAACGCGGCCGGAGAGACGATGAGCGTTTCGTGCGTCTCTCTCCCCACCACGTAGCCTAGAAACCGAAGAAATAATGAAGCAATTCGAAAGAAAACAAAATAAACTACTGGATACTTTCTGGCGGATTTGGTTTCCGTGGGCGACTTCATGTTGCCTGCGGCCTAAAAAGCAGGGTGTGTTAATACGAATCCTAAAGTATACGGCACGGCAGCAGGATTCAAACGAAGCTTAATGTGTAGACTATGCTAGATCTCGTACCGTTTCAGTGGTCGATGACCGTGCCCTCCCCGACGCAGCCCTCATGGGTTCTTCGACGGTCCTGCCCACCCTTGCGCCCTGGGTGGCGGAACTTACTCCCGGTGAGCTTGACACTCCTTTGGCCCCTTTTGCCTTGGGCCCCGTCTTCTGCCGGTCAGAGAAGACGCAATCGGCTCCATTCTTTCGGCACGACCGGCACGGGCTGTCCTTGCCGAAAGGCGCAGAGCATTTTGTCTGCAGCGGCAAGGACACGATGCAAACACTTGGGTCATTGATACAAGCCAATGCCGTGTCAAGGTGGGCCTACCAATGCCGATAAACACTCCTGCTGTTCAGGGAGGCCATTTTCCAGTACGGATCAGGCGGACTGCCGCACCTGACTAATCTGCAATCCTTCGTGCCTCATGAGACAACCGTTAGGGACGTTTTAGCAGGCCCTGGCACGATCGCCTACATCCTTCTTTCATCTGATTGACTTCGATTTTGTTTCGTTCCTCACGTGCAGGAACACGCATACTATCAGACCGCTTGGTGGTTCTCTCCGTTGGGATAGATATTCGTCGTGTGCGGTGGTTTGGGGCGTCAAATCCGTGAAGAATTTGTTTGAAACGAGGCCGTCACACATCGGAGCTTGCAACGCCAAGAGAGCACTGTAGTACCAGCAACAGCAGCCTCATCGCTGCCATTTGTGGACACGGAGTCACCGGACAACATACTGGAACCGAGAGCTCAATATGTCACGACAAGCTGCAGATCCGCCAGTTGGCGAGAAAACGCTTTGGAGATGATGGTGGTATTGGTTGGTGAACGTGCCGCCGTTCTCTGTCGGAACCACTCTCTGTACTAGGTCCACCAATGACAACCAGAGGACAGGCGTCATGGCCGCACCAGTACAAAGTGTTGCCGTCTGTCCCTTTCTACTGATCCTCTCCACTGACCTTCTTCTGGAAACACCGGTCACAGCTCTTCCGGCTCGAGCGGTGCTTGGATCAGGGCGTCCGGACCCCTTGAATTTTGGTTCGGTCAGTCGCCATGTCGAACCGTGAAGAATCGATCCTGTCAAGTGTACGTGGGAGCAAGGGTCAACGGGAAAAACAATTTAATACACATAGGCCCACTAATCGAAAATCGGGGTCCGTGGGCGAGGGGCGGGTGGGGGGGGACTTCATTTTTCTACATATTTGCGTATGGGGCACCGCGGATAGAAAACCTCTGCAGCAGGGGGGTCGATGACTTATTGTCGTGAACGAAGTCCCCTATACTTATTCCTATATATTACAGAAAATCGAAATTGCCCTCCAGCGAGGATGGGGGGGGGTGGCCCATGTGTGCGGGACAATTTATTCACGTAGACCCTTGGCAGAGAGGTGACCAGCAATAATCTGTTTGACCGAAAGCGAACGTCGAAAGATCAACATCGATTTATGCATAGGAACACGGTGTCGCCTCGTTGAACATCCAAATTAATTGGAGTCGTGGGTCCAATGGGACACGACAGGTGATCATGTTAAAGGTCCCAACAATTTGCAGCATCAAATGCTATTGACGCTAAACCATATAAGGCGAGGATGCACTGTCGGGAGTCTCGATGCGAATTGGTCTGGCGGAAAGCGTGTCGCCTCCCGTTCGTAGTCTAGCGAGGACAAAGTCGTTTCATTCCGAAAGGCGTCTACGTCTGTCCGTCCGTGCTTGGATAGAACAAAAACAATGCGCACAAGTCAGCCGGTGGAAAAGCAGTAGCCGCTGTCGAGGGGGAATCGTTGTTGTCGCACTGTAGCATCAAGACATTCGCATGCTTTCACGTTCATTCGCGCGTTCGGCATGGGTTTTCGTTTTGACGTGGACGTCGAACAGGTACAGGGAACAGCAGCCAAACGCTGTTTGTGTCTATCCACGATTGATTTTTCGGGACGTCGAAGAGCAACTTAACCCGCATCCGCCACGACCACCAAAAGGTAACCACGGCGAGAACGGTGCCACGTAGACGGTACGCGTTGACATGAGCTCTATTTGATTGGTCTACTGTACGTCGTAGTATTGCAACGGCAGGCACGGGTCGAGCGAGCTGTTGGTGACAATGCAGCTCAGCTCACTGACTCACGGTCGTCGCCAATATCGGGGGAACGATGAACAGACACATGCCTCTATAGGACATTCATTTTCTTTCACGCCATGCTGTCGAAGGAGTTCGGAGGGGAGCATTACTGAAGCTATCCCCTGTCAACCTTGCCTTTTCAATAGTTGTTTCCGTGGTAGCTTGAATTCGAGTCGGTGGTGGTGTCGAGGGTAGTGAGGTGTGGTGGGAGGTGAGAATTGGACGATCGCAATGGACGTTACAGAATTGACAGGTAGATGGGTTGAACTGGCAAGTGACTCTTCGACGTTTTGTTGAACCATGTTCAACAGCCCGGAAGTTTTGTTGACAGTTTCAAGGAACATCAACAAATAGTCTACGGTTTTTGAACATCCCTTGCAAGGTGCGTTTGGTCCTTCACAGTGCTGAACTCTTCTCGCATTAACAGTCGAAGGCAAAGTACCGCAGAAGGGAACGGTAGAGAGGGGCTGTTCTGTGTGACCACGGGTTGGGGTAACGGCACTAGGCTGTGAGCGCTGATTTTGAAGTGAAGACAAAAATAAATAAAAAATAAAAGTAAAATAAATAAAAAATATTAGAGGGTACGAGCAATCAGCGTGACCTACAGAAACCATCCGACTGTCGCATGGGCGACTGTCTTTCGTGTTGACCGTGGTCGTCCGTGGTTGGCCTCAACCAAATCAAATCCTTGGTCGAACGCTTTTGCTTTTCACAGGACATTGGGGGGTTGGAAGAATGTTCTGGCGGTTTCAATCCCCCGATCCTCGTTACGTTCCGGTTGTTCGGCGTAGAACAGTGCCAATTCGACGAAGAACTGCTTGTGGTGTTGTGGAAGGGATGGGGAGGCCAAGCACCGAAGAGGGCAGGGCCACAACGGGTGATCGAGCCCCTCTTGGTTGAGCGCGGCTGGTGTCGGTTGTCATACCCGACATGGGTTTCCACATCTCTACCATTCGTTCGGCCAAAAATTCCATATATTGATATGAACACAAAATGCACAAGCCACGAAGTGTCAAACTGAGTTAGACTTCTACCCTTGTCCTCACCACGCACCGATAGTAGTACATGTTGAGTCCATCTCAAAACATCAACAGACTATAGGCAGCACGTTCTGCATACCTCCGACGAAGTCTGTACAATTTTTCGAGGGAATCTCTGCTCAATCTCCCACGCGGCACCCATGGGCACTTCATGGGCAGCCCATGAACTGCCCACGAATTGCCCACCGTGGGCAATTCAGCCTAGACCTCGCCACCATAATATCAACCTAGAACTTATGACCATCGGCACATCAACCCAGAACTTTGCCACCCGGCGCCAACCTATAGCACGTATCGTATGGGTTTGGGTTTAGGGTTAGGGCTAGCGTTAGGGTTATTTTTTGCCGTTATGATGCCCGTTCCAACGCAGATAATCTAATCTAGGCGTACACTGGTTCCGGTTGGAAGGGCAATTATTGACCGCCCATGGGCCGCCCTTGGGCTCCCGATGGGCAGCCCATGGAACAACGTGGTGCCCATGGGCTGTTTAGGAAAAACGTAGAAAGTGTGGGAGACCCTCTCTGCCGGTGCTTGACACTATTTTACATTGTCATGAAAGTTGATGCGAATTTCGCATGAACTTGGGTCCAACTTCCATCCACACGCACCAAAGCTGAACGACGTTAATGGGAAGGGGGCATATTATAGTCCCGTACAGTAGTACACACAGTTGATCAACGTCGTCGGTACAATTTCGGGCGAAATGAGCCGGAAACAACTGCTTCATCATTCAAATGCTGAGAACGGACGTGCTCTACGTTCTTTAGGTCTAGCCTGAAACTTTTCACGATCCCGCAGGCCGACTTCCAACGATGCTGCAGTTTAGTCATTACCGCCTGCAACTGCAGCAGCAATGCCGGCCACCACAGCACGGCCATGGACATTTTCTACATCTCTTTAATGGGGAGCTTCAGCAGAAGCAGCAATGGCAAACGCATGAAGGCGAAGACTATCCGCCTCCGCCACCAGCAGTTCCCACCACAGCTCGACTTGTCGAACGACAGCGAATCGTTTTCCCAGGCTATGTGAACAATCAATTCGAGTTGTGGAGGCATCGGGGATGGGCGGGGGGATAGCAACATGTGAAACGATGTGCACGGCGGCGGTGTGTGTCGGAGCAGCCAATGCTCGATGTACTCCAACATTTTCACTATGTGAACATCTACACTTTGCACCTCCTACCTGTACATGATGTAGAAATCTAGAGTATGAAGTACAGTGTTCCAGTCTAGCACACAGGCAGGTTCAGGTGTCGGTTTACTCATTCATATCAATACACAACAATATTTGTAATGACACCATGATGGCTCGTCCGACCATGACAATGCCCGTGATGCTGTAGTGAAACGAGGAACCACTGGATTATGACCAAGCAAAACCCTTCCAACTTTCTCTCTCGTGCAAGGTTTCAGTTTCATTGTTGTGTAAACCGTAGGCATACTTTACAAGGCAACACAGTCAGTTGTGCATTGGCTCACCTCGCGGGCTCTTGCTGAATGGGTTCGCCGTCCATATTCCGCAGCTGATACGCCTTCCAGAGTGTCCCGCTCGGGCTGTTTGTCGGTCCAACCGACTCCTGCTTGAGGCGAGCCACAGCGGTTTTGGTCCAACTTTGCCCAAGCCGCAGGAAAACCGAAAACAATCGAATCGCGCAAGAACAGCAGCAGCGACAAGAAATACAACAATGGGGGTTAGCAAGCAGCATGAATAATTGCAGCTTGCTAAGTGGGCACCCACCGAACCATTTCAAGGTGCGTTGTGAAAGAGAATCTTGTTGAGTACTGTACAAACAAACTCTGTTGACCGTGGTCGAGCTAGCCCCCCTGAACTGAAGTGGAACCTAAAGGCGGTCGCAGAAGAAGAGGGCTATTTCTCGGCTAGCAGTTGCCGTGATGAGTGGAATACGGAAGCAATGGGTAGTTCTGGGGTTGTCATCGGTGCGGGTGGCAGAAAGTAACGGGTGATTCGGTGCTTCGGTTTGCATTCGCCTATGGTTCCCTCGGGTTGGGCATATCACATTCATCCGAAGATTGAGTATTCGTTCGGAGGTGTGATGCAGTCTCACCGCAGGAAGAATCGGTCGTTCGAACCACCAGGATCAATTTGCTATTGTCCGCCACCCAACCACAGTCGTATGCATCATAATAATTCTTCTTTTTGGGATTGCATTTCATCGCATTGTTGAACGAATGTTAGCTTGGCAAAAGACGGACATTCGATGCAAACAAATTTACAGGTATTTCATGCGGGCAAAATATTCCAGCATCATCGTACAGTTTCATTTCATCAGATCGCATTTCACTGAATGAAATCGTTAGAAGGCATTGTCGTTCAGCAAAAGACGGGCATTGCATGCAGGCAAATTTCACAGTTCGTATGACCATGGTTTGGTCGTCAAGGCATTTCATGTGGTCAAAGAGAAAGATTATGATGCACAGAGCTGTGGCCTACATCGATGTTGCTTCCGTAAACCACGTCTATCTCGCAAGAGTATCCCTAATCCTTTTGAGGAGAACACCCGCTGCGAATGCTGGGGACCTATAAGTTTTTATGTTGAACATACAGTACCCCCATGCGCAACGGGCTCTTGATGGGTCATACTCTCTCGCTGTGGTCGTGAAGGTAAGACGGTCATGAACTCCAGAGCGTCTACCTTCAACACTACACTGGGTCTGGAAAAGAGGTGCAACCTCATGGTCAGATGTACGTGTACTGTAGTTCATGGCTATCCATGGCTGACTACTAGGGAACACTCATTCGCCGTTTCGTTCCCGGTTTGTGCCAAACGATTGTGGGCGTGCTTTGCCTACGATGCAAACGCGTACAGTGTACTGAAAACGTGTGGGAGACAGTGAAACGAGGCCAACAGTTATGTCGTGTACCTTCATGTTCATGTGCAACGATATAGGAGTTTTGAGAGTCCGACGTCAAGGGGAGAGCAATTTCCTCGAGGAGAAAGTTCATATCCCGACATAATTCACTTGGCCACGTATAGGGTATAACACTGTGCTGCCTGGGGCAATCGATCATTTTCGTCCGCTAATCCATTTCTTCCATCGTTTCATTGAATCCATCAATCCTCTAGTTCATCCTTCAATCCAATCCGTCCATGAATACACATCTGCCGATGCAATCATTGGAGGGTATAAACCATATCCATCATGTGTCAACCCATTTGATCGATTTCAGTTCTCTCCAAGATACAGATGCCCCTCTAGAGTCAGCACAGCAGTGTATTCCAACGTTCTCGAGTCAACTAGAGTCATAGACACCTCTGACCATTGCGAACGTGTTTCAGGCACGCTGCCTGCATTCCAGATATCTTCAATTCGATATTCTGACGTGTTCCTCCTCTACCGAAACTCGTCGCGACCCTCCACGACTCTGCTCTGCCTACACCATATTCTCCACGATGACAATACGGCGTACCTGTGTTCCGAAGCAGACCAACCCTGTTTTTTAGAGCAGTATTTTTGCGTGTGAAAGACCCACCTGACGGTTAACCTATCACCGATGGCGTGCATGTCCGCCCGCAGTTCCTTCTGGCGATTGCCATTGTTGGCCTTGACCCCGGCGACCGACGTCTGTGCGGCATCGGAGTTGGAGTTATTGGCATCGACCGCGAATCTCCTGGTGGGCATTCAGTCGATCACGCGAGAGGCGGCAATATATCGTGGCGACATGATCATTGAACAGACCGTGCGGGGGGTCCATTTGAATTCCAACTCTCATATTCCATTTGACAGTATGCCTCACCTCACTTCATTTTGTCCAGTAGTTCGGGTAAAACTCATGGGGAACATATTCTTGATTTCTACGGTATTATAACGCTGAGGAATGCGCCTCGTCACCTTCTTCTGCTGTCTATCAATGTCACGAGCAACACCCCCATTCCTCACCAGTATGCCGTGGTCCACCGGGATGCAAGACCTTCGCTCGCATCGAGAGCGCAGGCCGCTGTAGTAGTCTCCGCTTCATGGCCAGACTGGGTGGTCAAAAGTGAGCAGGGTTGAGGGGGTGGGTGAAGAAGCTTTCTCCAACCTACTGTAGGGCCGTCCTTGTTAAACCAAGGCACACAACGCAATGAAACAGACTACTGGATACTTTCTGGCGGATTTGGTTTCCGTGGGCGACTTCACGTCGCCTGCGGCCTAAAAGGCAGGGTGTGGTAATACAAATCCTAAAATATACGGCACAGCAACAGGATTCAAACGAAGCTTAATGTGTAGACTATGCTAGATCTCGTACCGTTTCAGTGGTCGATGACCGTGCCCTCCCCGACGCAGCCCTCATGGGTTCTTCGACGGTCCTGCCCACCCTTGCGCCCTGGGTGGCGGAACTTACTCCCGGTGAGCTTGACACTCCTTTGGCCCCTTTTGCCTTGGGCCCCGTCTTCTGCCGGTCAGAGAAGACGCAATCGGCTCCATTCTTTCGGCACGACCGGCACGGGCTGTCCTTGCCGAAAGGCGCAGAGCATTTTGTCTGCAGCGGCAAGGACACGATGCAAACACTTGGGTCATTGATACAAGCCAATGCCGTGTCAAGGTGGGCCTACCAATGCCGATAAACACTCCTCCTGCTGTTCAGGGAGGCCATTTTCCAGTACGGATGAGGCGGACTGCCGCACCTGACTAATCTGCAATCCTTCGTGCCTCATGAGACAACCGTTAGGGACGTTTTAGCAGGCCCTGGCACGATCGCCTACATCCTTCTTTCATCTGGTTGACTTCGATTTTGTTTCGTTCCTCACGTGCAGGAACACGCATACTATCAGACCGCTTGGTGGTTCTCTCCGTTGGGATAGATATTCTTCGTGTGAGGTGGTTTGGGGCGTCAAATCCGTGAAGAATTTGTTTGAAACGAGGCCGTCGCACATCGGAGCTTGCAACGCAAAGAGAGCACTGTAGTACCAGCAACAGCAGCCTCATCGCTGCCATTTGTGGACACGGAGTCACCGGACAACATACTGGAACCGAGAGCTCAATATGTCACGACAAGCTGCAGATCCGCCAGTTGGCGAGAAAACGCTTTGGAGATGATGGTGGTATTGGTTGGTGAACGGGCCGCGCCTTTTTCGCCGTTTTCAGTCGGAACTACTCTCTGTACTAGGTCCACCAATGACAACCAGAGGGCAGGCGTCGTGGCCGCACCAGTACAAAGTGTTGCCGTCTGTCCCTTTCTACTTATCCTCTCCACTGACCTTCTTCTGGAAACACCGGTCACAGCTCTTCCGGCTCGAGGGGTGTTTGGATAAGGGCGTCCGGACCCCTTGAATTTTGGTTCGGTCAGTCGCCATGTCGAACCGTGAAGAATCGATCCTGTCAAGTGTACGTGGGAGCAAGGGTCAACGGGAAAAACAATTTAATACACATAGGCCCACTAATCGAAAATCGGGGTCCGTGGGCGAGGGGCGGGTGGGGGGGACTTCATTTTTCTACATATTTGCGTATGGGGCACCGCGGATAGAAAACCTCTGCAGCAGGGGGGTCGATGACTTATTGTCGTGAACGAAGTCCCCTATACTTATTCCTATATATTACAGAAAATCGAAATTGCCCTCCAGCGAGGATGGGGGGGGGTGGCCCATGTGTGCGGGACAATTTATTCACGTAGACCCTTGGCAGAGAGGTGACCAGCAATAATCTGTTTGACCGAAAGCGAACGTCGAAATATCAACATCGATTTATGCATAGGAACATGGTGTCGCCTCGTTGAACATCCAAATTGATTGGAGTCGTGGGTCCAATGGGACACGACAGGTGATCATGTTAAAGGTCCCAACAATTTGCAGCATCAAATGCTATTGACGCTAAACCATATAAGGCGAGGATGCACTGTCGGGAGTCTCGATGCGAATTGGTCTGGCGGCACGCTTCCGTTCGTAGTCTAGCGAGGACAAAGTCGTTTCATTCCGAAAGGCGTCTACGTCTGTCCGTCCGTGCTTGGATAGAACAAAAACAATGCGCACAAGTCATCCGGTGAAATAGCTGTAGTCGCTGTCCGGGGGAAATCGTTGTTGACGGACTGTAGCATCAAGACATTCGCATGCTTTCACGTTCATTCGCGCGTTCAGCGCGGGTTTTCGTTTTGACGCGGAGGTCGGACACAGGTAGAGGGAACCGCGGCCAAACGCTGTCTGGTCTATCCACGATTGATTTTTCGGGAATGAATGTCGAAGAGCAACTCACCCCGCATCCGCCACGACCACCAAAAGGTAACCACGGTGAGAACGGTACCATGTAGACGGTACGCGTTGACATGAGCTCTATTTGATTGGTCTGCTGTACGTCGTAGTATTGCAACGGGAGGCACGAGTCGAGCGAGCTGTTGGTGACAATGCGGCTCAGCTCACTGACTCACGGTCGTCGCCAATATCGGGGGAACGATGAACAGACACATGCTACCGTAGGTCATTCATTTTCTTTCGCACCATCCTGTCGAAGGAGTTCGAAGGGGGGCTTCACTGAAGCTATCCCCTGTCAACCTTGCCTTTTCAATAGTTGTTTCCGTGGTAGCTTGAATCTGAGTCGGTGGTGGTGTCGAGGGTAGTGAGGTGTGGTGGGAGGTGAGAATTGGACGAGCGTAATGGACGTTACAGAATTGACAGGTAGATGGGTTGAACTGGCAAGTGACTCGTCGACGTTTTGTTGAACCAAATTCAGAAGCCCGGCAGTTGCAGCGAAAATGGGCACGGCTAATCGTTGACAGTTTCAAGAAATTGTAGGAATTCGGGCCGATTGTACACGTTTTGTGTTGTTTGCGGGTGTTGCTCTACTACACAGTGGGCCATTTGTTGTTGTAATTGTTTATACGTTGGGGAAGTTTTCGAAGCAAGTTGGAAGGCACTTGTCAAGGTTCGAAACAAATGGAAGCGACCATTCCAAGGTATTTTGGCCCTACTCGCTTCAAATTGTTCGATTACTGTACGTCAGATGTATAATATACCCAAAAAAGTCGGGAGAAGCAACCCTCTTTGAGACGAATATACTCGACAACAACAGGAGGAGTCTTGACGGTCTAGATATGGAAATATATTGTTTGCTCTCGTGAACCTTGAGATTTTGACAGATATGTTAATGTTTCCTTATAGATATATCTTGTAGTCTACATCGTTGACCGCCACGACTTCATGAATCCACCCCGGACATCCCATTTATGTCGCCACCTAACCTCAATAAAAACAGGACGAAGGCGGGCTGTGACCACGCCCGTCCCAAGTCGCAATACCTCTGGTTGACTCTTCAGCTCCCAATCTATTTTTTCAGTGGAGCGGAAATATTCCTGCTCGAAGAAAAATTGCCCGTCTGCCTCAATTAAGTTTGCCAACGCCTCGGTGCCCATTTTCGCCAAACACTGCCGCAGTCCCACCTCACCTCGACTACTTCGCACGTGTTGCCGCTTCCCCTGACGTCACTCCTTCTTGCTCCTCTATCTCCATTTTCACATGATTGAGGCTTCACCTATGTATCAACAAACTCTTCTACCTCACGGCATCACCCCCGAGAGACTCGTTCTCCCTCGAATAAGTATTTAGACGCATCTCTGTCAATTGTGTGTCGCCGCAAATATACGTCGGCTACCCTGAACGTGCATATGATACAGGCTTCGCCAAAACAACCTAACTCTTCTACGTCATTCCATCACCCCGGGATTTGTTCACCCTCTCGCATGCGTTTGTACTTACATACGTCTTCTGCCCTTGTGTGCCACGCCATACTTCTCGTTTTTAACTATACACTCAAATCCTTTCTCCCGCTGGAATATACTATGAAACCGCGGAACAGCCTACTTCATACGTTGGGCGGATTTCAGTTGCCTTGGCCAGTTCACGCTGCGCTCCCGCATTCCGCCTTCAAGTTGACATCAGTCGGACAACAACTGTTTTGAGGGTATCCCCTGCAACTTGTTAGCCGAAGGTTTGCACAGCGTGTTGTCGGTGCGCGCTATTTCGCCCCCATAGTGGTCACAATGAAACCCACGACAATCATCGCAGCGCCGACGAAGTTGTTCCAGCCCGTCAGCGACTCACACGATGCAGCCGCGTTATTGCTGTCAGTTTCGACAGTGGGCATTCCGGTTCCGCTGGTATTTGCCTCTCCAACGCACGACCAAGGGGAACACTGCAGACCGGCCGCTTCCGTGATACACGAAAAGTAGGCTTGGGCCCGATCGTTGGTTGAGCAGTCGCCGCCAGACTGCTCGTCGAGGCAGCATAAATGCTGCCCGAAGGTAGCGCACCCTTCATCCGAGTTTATGGAGGCTGTACACGAGTTCCAGCCATCTTGGTCCGTGACGGTGTTGCATTCCATGCATTCGGGGTCTTCTTGGCATGCTTCCGCAAAAGGCAGGCAGCCCTCAACGGGGTTCCAGGGGGCTGAGAGTGAAAAACACAACGACAGAGAGACGACCAACCTTGTTGTTCTCTGATGTACGAGGGTTTGCGGGAATCAGTGGTTATGGTGTAAAGCGGAAACGACGGAAATCTCTCTGATTGTATTCGTACCCCGGTCACCACACGAGCGAGGTGATGATGGGGTGCATTCAACTGTGAACAGATCTCTCTCTCTCTGATTGTAGTCGTACCCCGGTCACCACACGAGCGAGGTGATGATGGGGTGCATTCAACTGTGAACAGGTCGGTACTCGCACCCCCACCGACGACCGACTACTTCTACCAACATGCCGGGTCTGCGGTACGGCCGACCTTGGCACGAGCTACACACGGCTCAGACATGTTTACCTGGTGTAGGCTGGGGTGTGGGTGCAGAGGTCGGTTGTGGCGTTATCGCTGTGAGGAGACGTCAACGGGGCAAGGAGGGCGCATAAACATTTTTTCGACGGTAGATATCATGAGGAAGCTAAATTTTACTGCAGAAGGCGCCAACACTTACGAACGTCTAATTTTCTCCGAGGCTCGGTTCTTATTTCCTGTGTAGGGAAACCCAACGAGATCATTATCTATGAAGAAAATGTTGAGTTTCGATTATTCCATCAAGTTGGAGTTTCGATTATAGAGAGATTGAACTTTTCAACTACCAGGTGCTGAAGTGGTGGCGTGCCCTGGGAGCAGTCACATGTTGGGCACTGGTGAATCGTCCTACTCCAGGTGTAATAGGCGGTGAAGGCAATTATTCAAGTGCCCAGCAATACAATACTTGTTGGATACAAAAGCGCGGTTGCCAATGTTTATGCTTGAACAGCTCACCAGTACATGTGTAGCCGTCTACGCCCGGCTCGCAGTCAAGGCACGAGACGTCGACCCCCTCGCCTGGACAAGCTGAAAGGAAGGGTTATTTTCGAAACAAGCGACAACTTCAGGAATGATACGTGAGCACCGCACTGTGAACATAATTGATGTGACGGTGCGATTCCTGGCGTTGCGCGGAACTGCATCACAAGAAAAGCAAAACCACTAGTGTACTCCGCCCGCCAACTCTTTGGCTCTTTGAACGTGCGTTGGTGACGAGGCTTCGTGCAAAAGGGCACGGTGAAGCACACGACTCGTTGATCACAGAAGTCAAACACGAGCCGCCGACGCCCGCTGGGCCGCAAGAACTCATCGTCCCCAAAGCAATGTGGCCTATTGATGGAGTGACTTTCACCCGCGGTAAGTGTGGACTTGACCCTACATGTTGAACACTGACGCACTCACCACACATTTCTCCTACGCCCTCGGGAACGAGAAGCGTGACCTCACTGAGCTTCGTCCTGCATAGCAATCACGCGGGCTGTGTCGGTAAACACGGTTGCTGCTGAGTATGTGATCGACAGTCTAAAGCGTCGCTGCTGCATGGGGCGGAAATGCGCATGTCCTGACGAAGTCGATTGTGCGCTGGCAGACAAGAGCTCAGTCACTCTTTCGCCGGAGCCGTCGCGATTGTGGAGCTACACGCTCATCTACGGTAAACACTTCCTCGTCAATCGTAACCACCTTTTGCAGACGTTTTTCACGTCATCAAGGGCGTGAAAGATGAAAAACCTACAGTAGGTTGGAGGCTCCCGTGTGTGACGTAAAGCAATCTCACCCGGCCATTGATGGCACACATTGGAGATCGTCGTTCCCCGTCAAGTCCCTGCGACAGCGACCAGCCCATCCAATACCGTTGCAGATGGCCAGGTGGGAGATGTGTTCGTTAGTGTGATGAAGAGACTCGTGGTTTTTCTTTCCGTCGCAGATGAATGTACAACGCAACGGGTTGCAGCATCTCTCGACTCTGTAATAAGTACCTACAGATTTTCTTCGTCACGACACACGAGCTTCTTGTTCTGTACCGTCTATCGCAGCAGTATTCCATGCACATCCTTTTCGCTGAAGCTGTTCCCGTAGAACCCTCCCGTAGAAACACCTCCTACAGGTATTGAAGGGGGTTCGGGCGGCGAGACACATGACGATATACAACTTGACGCGACATGCCCAGGGCCACCTGAGAGCGGCAGGTCCAACGCAGGTTGAACCCCGAAACAACATATCGTCTTACAGGCTCGTAAGCGATCGGAGGTCTGCTAGAAGCCCGGCCGGGAGGGTGCCCAAAGCGTTGTCATTCAGGTAGCTGATTTTTTCGGACGAAGAAGGGGGTACGGGGAAAACGCATCGCGTCAGAACTGGCTCGTGAGGGCCAAAAGGGCCAAATGACACCTTGAAAAAAACGATGCTGCATCCTTCCGGAGCGGCCTTGAGGGGACGAGGAGACGACAAGTACGACGCCGTGGTTGCGGAAGTGAGCAGGGTTCAACACGACTCGAATACACTACAGGGGCCGAGGGTCAAATGGTACTCGTAGTATCAATGGTGGATGACATCACCAGCTCCTGAGCAAATCCCACGGCTTTGGTGCACGTGAAAGATAGTTCGAGAATGCGTGACTGAAAAGAACTGCAGCTACTGTAGTCGCTGGCTATCATCTGAAGTCAGTTGCGTTCGCCTCTTTGCGACAAATATTTGGGCTCCATCTCCTGTTCGGGAAACGTGGAACCCTGACCTACTCTTGTTCAAGAAACCATTTTCACAGCGCTTGTGTTCCGATAGATAGAGCGACGATTGTACGATACACGTGCGAGGTCAGATTGAAACCGGAACTGTTGTAGTACCGAGCAAACAACGCCTTCCAAGAAAACAACTCATGCATGCACACAGCCAGTAGTCGTCTGCCAGGACTCGAATGTGGCTTGCTCGCTCCAGAGCGAAGAATATACCAGTAGGTGCTTTCGGACTTTTGAGCCATGTCTCAGCCGTATTGCAAAGGCCCTTGTAGTGTAGCCGAAGAATTACATTCGAGACAGAGGTGACGGCGGAAGCATGTCCTCAATCTCAATCTCCCCGCTTCCAACGTGGCACAGTTCCTGTCGCGGAACTTTCGTAACCGTGTGTCTGTACACCCCCGGGAACCCATCGGGCGCGGTGCGAAAAATGTATCCATTACGTTGGTCGATGTGCACTCATCATTCGTACACCATTCATGAACGAGCACTTACAGGATTTGAAGCTTGTTCAGGCCATCGAAGATATCAGAAGGGAGTGCACTGAGAACGTTCGAGTCCAGCGTGCTGGTCACGGCGCGGAGGGGGGGTCGAGGATGCGTGGAGTGCATGGCTTAGTGCTCAGTTCAGTGGGGCTCGCTGCAGAAGGGCAGGCTGGCAGCGGAATGTGATACTGTAAAAGCACTCGCTTTGCTGAAGCCTACAATAATATATGCACGCTTTGCCGGGAACAATCAAGTATCTAACTGTTCCCAGCACGGAACTGACAGTTGTTTCTCCCGACGTGCGGCGCACGTACGCGTAGACACATACCCGAAGGATTGTACCAACCACGACGGTGATTGAACGGAGGAGATAGGAACACCGAGGTCTTTGATGCCATCGTTTCAGACGACAACCGAGAAAACAATCGATGTTGATCGGAAGAAGTGGGGACCAATTGCCATTGACGGAGCCATCCTGGACGGGCCATGCACGCCGTGTATCGCCCAACAACTTACAGAACAATGAGGGCCGTGAGGGTCACCAGGAACCCCGATGGTAGGGAGCTCAACGTGTTGGAGCTCAAGTTCAGAGTTGAAACAGCCTCGAGACCATCGAAACACTCCGCTGTGACTGCTGATAAAGCGTTGTCATTAAAATACCTGGGAAACCCGGAGGGCAAAACGCGCGCGATCAAGGGGTGACAAGACTAGCGCCGAAGCAAAATATCATTGATCGCGTTGTTCCCGTAGGTACTCGAACCTGTGCTACCGCAACCGCGATATCGTGCCGTAAGCTGGAAATACCGAGAGCGACAACCAGAGCTGTCGTTGCCACAGAATAATGAAGCACTACATAGCACAAGACCGCGTTCCAGGAATTTCTTTGCACACGGTTATTAGACACGTCGCACAATTGCCAACATGCGAAGCGAATATCATTGTCGTAGTGCAAGATCGAGGCCGTGGGATCTATTCGCGCTCATCGTGTAGGTTGCCGTGAAGGGACTATTCGCCCTTGGATCAAGTAGCGGATGCGCGGACGACATGGGAGACGGTGTTCCCCAAGTATCTGCTCTACTCGAGCTCTGGCGTTTAGGCTAGAAGCGAATGAATTCCCTCTGGGAGGGCGTAAATACATGGGCAGGGAGCTGTCACGGCCTCTTCTGCAAAGAAGACTCGTACAGTGTACTTTGAAATCGCCGCCCGAGTAAGGCCGTCTTACACTGTTTTTTTACGGCTTCAGATTGCGGATGGCCGCAAGGCTGACCACACGTGAGCCATGTAAGTAGCTGATATCTCACGAACACAAAATCTGTTTCATCTCTCCGGCATGGAACACGATAACTGCTCACAGCGACTTGAGCGAAGCTAGCCCGCTTGAAGTCCCGAAGAGACCGTCAGGTAACGAGGTCAGTCGGTTAGAACCAAGGTCCCTGTTGCGTGTTCAGGGCAGGAGGCCAGGCGAGATTAGAGGCATCCAAACGCACACGACGCTTCCTCCTGGTAGTCCTTGTTGCAAAACACCAACTCAAGTTAGCGCAGATCTGTTATTTGGTTGTTACCATGCACTATCACAGTGTTTGAGAGCAGTCTCGGTTCAAATTGGTCGTGAAGTACTCAGCATCGAGCAGCTTCGTTAGGAGCCAATCTACTGTAGGACAAACCATATACGCACAGTACAATTCATACGCTCTTATCGATGCTACGGAGCGCCCAAGGCACTCACAGGCTCCAGAGGTGGCTCATCCCATCAAACATTCCGGAAGGTAGAGACTCCAGCTCATTGTGCTGGAAGCTCCTGAAGTAGGTATGGAGCAAACGAGAAGAGAAAATAGATTCAATACCGGCATGATCAAATTGGGTTCCATGCCGCGTTGAAATTGGTTGGTTTTACATGCTAATTTAGAACCATGTCCGCAGTGTGCGGGTGTGACTGGCCGTAGTGTCCCCTTACCGCCGGATCGTGAAACATTCAAGGAAGTGGCACATCCAAATCGTTTTGTGTGTGCCCACTTTCGTTGCTCTCCTATTCAGGATGATAAAATACCACCAATGTTTAGACGCAGCCATTATCGATTGACCGACGCTGGTTCGTCTAGGTTCACGAGAACCCCACAATCGCAATCACAGTCACGATGCCATAGAGAGAGTACCACCGTACACCAGCGAGTACAACACAGCAATACTTTCATCATTGTGGCCTACATGAGAACAAGAACTCACAAGAACTCAAGCGCCTCCACGTCCTGAAACAATCCTGATGGTATCGCCGAAAAGAGATTGTTTTCCATGCGTCTGGTAGGCATACACACAGCGCCGAAAGCAGGATGCCAGTTGTAGCATTGGTTGTCTTTCGGACTTGTCCACGAGTGAAAATATACCAAGCTGGTACTGGATCCAAGCCGATACGAGTGAGTTATTCTCTGGATACTGTTTGTCGGGGTTGTTGAAAACGCTGGCCACCATAAGAACAGGAAACGTAAACGCCCAAGTTTTCACCACCACCACAACCACTACTACCGCCAACAAAAGCCTAAAAAACTAAAAATGTAACATCAACAGCATCGACAACAACATTGCAGCGGCAGCAGCAACAGCAAGAGCAACGGCAATTGACCGCTTTCTCACAACTCTCGTAGTGCTCCAAAGCCTTCGAGTAGCCCCTCGCCAACGGTCGTCATCGAGGTGTCCGAGAGTCGTCTGTTGAATGTCCGATGGCGAGGAGGGGATGGTGGTTGCGTTGTACCAAGGCATCCTTTCACCGGAGGGGAACGTTTCGTGGGAGAAGATCTCTGCTACCTACCTCAATTATGCGCACCTGATTTGATGTCAACGACGCCGAACTTCATATGACAGATACACGATAAGCGAAACGCGAGCTCTCCACCATATTCGACTTGAGAACGCAGAAAGGAATCCAGGTGTCCGATACTGCCCCGGTTCGACGTTCAGCCGCTGATGAACAGTTCTATGAGTGCCAGCCGACACGTCGGATATTCGATTGTTTCAAATGCACAGTAGTCTCACTGGAATCTTCGTTTATTCCTACCAGTATGTAGGTAGTCACACCATCCCATGCATCGAGGTCGGACTGGAACAAGTGAAAATAGTGCTTACACGGCCTGCGCTCTTACAACTCTGTGATCGTTCCTCTTCCAGCTGCGTCGAAGCACGACCCAAGATCGTCCATGTCCTCGTCGGCCAAACCACACCCGACGAACGAGCTGGCCACGAACGGTGAAGAGGATGGGAGGAACATTTTCAATGTGTCCATCTCTAGAACTTGGGGCCTGCTTCACACTTCATGCCGCACATGCGATAGATACGGAGTAAGAGACGGCTAGACATGCGATCCTGGTGCTCTACAGCACGACCGATGTTAGACTGATCGGTCAGGCTGTACACAAGATACATGAAAGGGCCATCTCTTTGGGAAATTTTTATTCCCCACACATCTCCATTTTATTGAACGCGGGAATAGGATTTTCGGCCCTCGAAATTCCGGCAAAGGCCCCCGTCACCTTGGCGCAGGGATTCCAAGGGAATGTGGACTGACAAGGGCACGCCGATTCTCAAGGCGGTTCTCACATTTCGTTCACCAAGATATACTGGGCAATATTCCAGCAATGCTCGTCGTGGAAGGAGTAGAATATTTTCTCTATCCCCGAACACTTGGGTTGAGGAGGAGAGGCGAGAAAGTCCTCCTCTTATCACCAATTGGCGTCAAAGGCAGTGTTCTTCTGAAACTCTGTACAGCAGTTCGATACTTAGCTGCTCACATGACGGATTGGCTCGACAAACAATGCACTGCATGCAGGACATCCGTTCTGCGACATTTTTTATTCGAACGTTATTACGATTGTGACGGGGGAGGGTGAAGCTGCCTCAACTTTCGAGGTGGCTTATACAACACACTCTAGCCAGAACGTTTCTTCGCCCGGTCGGGGGCTGTCTACATTTCATCGCATTCACCGTAGAGGACGAATGACCACGACCTTACTGTTTGTCAACAGGAGCATGTTCATGTACGCACGGCGCTGCCCTTACACGTCGGTGAACACCGGAAAAATCAACGCTTGTGCAGGACGTTGGAGGGCGCTTCCGTGTTGACCAACCGAGATGATGGTTGACTAGTGTCAAGGGTCTGTAGCCTTGTGCCCCATCATACTAGAAAAAAATGGAAAAGAGCCCCCATCAGAGAAATAAATATGTTCCTATTGTACGGTTGTGGAACACAAGACCTAAACACAGCCTAAACGCAGAGGATTGCTCGTCGAACCAACGCTGCGAGGCAGTGACAGAGCTTCATATACGATGTGGAGTAGCTGCTATGTTTCTCGATCCCTGAAATGTACGCGTATATTCTTCGTCGAGCAATGTGTTCAAGCCACACGTGATACCGTTGCAACGGCACCATGGGGTGTTTATTATAGAGGGAGAAATGAACGTTTCGAGTTCCGGGCAGGAGGCTTGGGATCGGTTCTTGCATTTTCTAGGTTCGTGGCCGTGTGCCACTGTATCACTCATAAGCTGGATACAGAGACTGGTCGACGATTCGTTGACCCTGCACCACAGCGTTTCCATGCGTTTCCAAAGGCATGCTATTGATGACGGCGCCCAGCCTCATATCATCTTTTGAAACAAATGAAAATCTGAGCAACTCTTACGTGCTGAAGAGGCTCTATTTCTCCAAACCCGCATTACGTAGCTCACATTGCAGCTGCACCTGCCTGGCATCTGCTATCCGTCGATTTCAAACACTCGTTTGTACCTGGTGGTTTGGTGAGAACCGCGAGAAGGGCAGAGGGAGAAATAGTATGACAAATATGAATTTGCCGTTCGAGTCGACTAGCGTACATTGGGACGAAAAAGGGACTCCGGAAAAGCTATCCACGTGCTTCTACATAGGAGAGACCTCAGCTAGCTGCCCTGCTCATTGGCTACGTGAGAAAGATTTCAAACCTTGGCTACGCTGTGCCTTCAAAACAGTGGTCCCCACGCCCCTTGATTTAGAAAACGGGCTGATCGCCATGGACGACAGAGCGAAGAAACAACCATCACGAAAGATTCTGAAAAATACTAAGAGAGTACACGCAGGAGGAACTATACGGGCCGCGGGAAATGGGGACATGGAGGTTCATGATCTCTTAGCCACGGTGCATGTGCGCATGCGGCAGAGCACCATGCAACAAGCAGCTAGTTTCAAGTTGTGTTACATCTTATACCGTAGATGACACTGCAATACCCTTAGAGACGAACTGACGAAGACCTCAGCTTACTCCCCCTCCTCACGCCATGTTGATCAAGAACATCGACCACACCGTAGACTACGCATATATTACTTCGCGAAGTACACTCCGAAAGTCGTGTAAGCGAGCTGCATTGGTTCTCCGATCGGGAACCACTCGGTGTCATACAGAGGACACAGGAGAGCGAACGACGCTGCTTCCTATTAAAAATCGATGTGAAGAGGGTCCACTAACGATAGAGACGACTATACTGCTCGGCAGTCCCCGCTAACCCTACATGCAGTCTTCTCGGCGGAATGAAGGGCAGTTCGCAACAGTCGCAGCGCCATGATGTTGCGCCAACTCAACGTGGTGCACACCTACACTATCCGTCGAAAAGGAACCCCCCAGCACACTCACGCAACAGAAATGGTGTGCAGCACGTTGCACTATGTGAATGCGAACCAGCGCACGTAACGTGGAAGTATCCACAAGCGGTGCGGTGTCCATCGCTGTACACAGCGGTCTCTTCGAGCGTGCCACTACGACCTCACGCAGATGGAGCATGTCTATTTCACGACACCAGTATGACCGGCACTCACCTTTCACCGACCCAACCGCCTGCAGTGCTAATACCAATTTAAGGCACCTCATGATAATCCACGAGACCACCATTTTTAGGACGCTGCCCGTGTCATCCGCTGCATCTGCTTCTGATCTTGGTGTGATCATCATCAGCGGACAACGGATCAGCGGCGGCACATGTACCGGTTCGGAGCAATGGCCCTGGTTCCGCACCGTGTGCGTGTGCCGGTTGGGATCCGCAAGTTGGTTCAGCCGGTCAAGCCGGTTTCCCTTCACTCACTGAAAAGACTCCACCACATCCCGTTCGACTGTGGGTATATCTCGAATGGGTAGTCTTTCTGTGTGTGTTTTTATTATTCCTTAGTTCAGAAATTTGTCATCATTGGCATTCGGCACTCGGCAGACGGCACCAACGGCACGACATGTCGGCACATCGCACGGGGTGCATACGTATCTGGCGGAACTTTATTGTTGCATGTCGCAGAGTTGAGGGAACTTACTTGTAGGCGTGCAGGATGCAGGCAGTGGAGACGGGCCCAGGTCCACGACGAACGCGGAAGCGGTGTGCGTCTCTACTAATCATTTTTTTAGTAGGTCATCCTTCGGCAATCGCTTTTCTTATTGATGTACAACCTCGACGAGTTTCGTCGGCGTTGCCTGACTGAAGCTTTCCCTTTTTTGTTTACGGGAAGCCAGCCGCAACTGCTGACTACGGTAACACTCTCGAGCACAAGACCCAGCAAAAACAAAGCGACTGAAGAATGAAGACGTGCAGACCGCGATGAAGACCTTGAAACTATGGTGCCGACGATGACAAGGTCAAGAACTAAATCCGAAGAAAATCTACGATGACAGGATACTACAAAAAAGAAGTAAACGCGAAAGACTCGCACGAAAAAACGCCTCAAGTAGTTCTCCCTGATGGGCTGACAGGGGGGGACGGCCCGGGCGCAGGGACTTCGCGGAGGGAGCGGCAGTATCGGTAGCAGCACCGGTGGCGAGAGTGGTGACCCCTGTTAGATATACTCGCAGCAGTATCTGGTCGTGAGGATCCCAGGGGGATACGTGTTGGGAATTTCGTGTGTTGCAGGGTACCATCGGTGCAGTCACGGGGACCCTTTTGGCGTGGTTGGTGCGATGAAGCTTGCGTGCGTGCTGCGCTCACTTCTTCCTCTCTCTCTCCACCACCACCACCGTCTCTCTCCAATCAAGTTTCCTTCTCCCACTCTCTCTCCAACTCTCTCTCACTCTCTCTCTCTCGGCCTAACACGGCCGACTACCCAGTGCCCCAAGTAACGTCCAGAACGTGCTTGCTGCACCCCGCGTAGTTTACCTTTCACACTAGTGCGATATCACGGTATCTGCGCGCGGGCGTAGCCATCCGGGGGTTGCGCAGTCACGCGCAATCGGTAGACTCCCACAACACCAAACATCATGGAGGACATCGACCTCTCCGCCCTCAGCGGGGAAGAGCTACAACAAAAAGTGGAGGAGATCGTCCAGCAACGAGTGCAAGCCGAACTCGAAGCCAACAGGATCAACGAGGGTGAAGTCACCATTGCCCAACCACCAGCCGGCAACCCAGCCACTCCAACCGGCAACCCAGTCCCACCTACTGGCAACCAACCATCACCCTCCAGCCAGGGTACACCAGCCACATTCAACGACCCCAGCAGCGTCGCACACATCGTGGCGCAAGCGGCCAAGGCGACAGCTGAGGCCATCGCTCAACAACAGGGCTTTGCCCGCTCAGGCACGTTACGTGTCAATCCAGGCTCAGAAATCGAACCTTGGCTTGGTAGTGTAAAGAAGGAGCAGGACTTGTACATTATGTTTGATATTTTTCGTGGTAAGATGATTTCATATTTTCAGGAGGAGGGTGTGCATGATGCGTTGGAACTGGAGGTCGAGGTCAAGGTCGGGAAGAGGGGTGTGAATGTAGGAGACCTTCGGAGACTTTTTGGAAATGAAGTGGTAGACAAGTCTTTCAAACTGTGGAATATCCTCATAAGCAAGGTTATGTATCCCCCGATTCAGAGCTTGATTCTGGCGTGTGAGAGTCCCCAAAAGGGCTGGAAAATAGTGACCGAGTTCTATCAGGAGAAAAAGCAGTCAGAAAAGTCGAGGTTGGAGCAGGACTGGAAGGAGTTGGAGATGAAGGAGTCCGAGAGTCCACAGGATTACATTGCCCGCTCAGAGGCCCTTCGCCTGCGTCTCGCATCTGTAGGCACGATTAAGGATGAAACAGATGCCAACAAAGACATTGCTCGTGGCCTTCCCTCTTCGTTATATGCCGTGCAAAAAGGAATACTGCTTGCCCATGATGTCCTGACGTTGCGTACCCTTGAGACTGTGGTGAGGGACGCCCACGTGGAGATGGAGCGCGAGAGGAGCAAGGGGGAGAGGCGCGAGGTGGAGATCGCTCTCGCCGCATCCGGCATGGGCCGGCGCGGCGGGGGCA